AGACCCCATATTGTTCATTTCATGCACGAATAATGATGTATTAGATTAAGCCAAGTGCAGCGTATTTTGCGAGTCGTGTAAACACTCGAGTTGTTGCTGGAGTGAAGGTTCACACACAGCACAGCACAGCGGTGGTCCACGCGGGATCCCCTGCTGCATTCCATGGGACAATAGGAGGTCACGTCCATGTGCATGTAGGACAATGTATTCCTCACCATGCACTACTTCCACCAGGTCGCCTATGTCATGTACGTTCATGCAGCTGGTTGTGCTGTCTGATTTGGCTAGGCAGGTAATGTGATGTTAACGAGTGATTCAGAGAGAGATAGATAGAGAGAGAGAGAGAGAGAGAGAGAGAGAGAGAGAGAGAGAAAGAGATAGATAGATAGATAGAGAGAGAGCGAGAGAGAGAGCGAGAGAGAGACGAGAGAGAGAGAGAGAGAGAGAGAGAGAGAGAGAGAGAAAGAGAGGGAGAGAGAAAGAGAGAGAGAGAGAGAGAGAGAGAGAGAGAGAGAGAGAGAGAGAGAGAGAGAGAGAGAGAGAGAGAGAGAGAGAGAGAGAGAGAGAGAGAGAGAGAGAGAGAGGGAGAGAGAGAATAAAGAGAGAAAAAAAGGACAAAAGAGAAGGGAAATATCAAGCCAGAGGAAAATAGAAATCAGTTTACAAAGTCAGTTTTATTATAATTGTGCACACTTTACGAGTACACTTTACCTGTAAAATTTAATATACATGTACATGTATGTGGGGGTGTTGGATTTAAGTAGACAATGTGAACGATACCAAGTCCGATTGTTCGAAACCCTTTTCCCTGGCAGGACATTTCCAAGGGATTATGATACTGTGAGGATATTGCATGCACCAATCGCCTACCAAGGTGCAGCCATCTCGTGATATGCGTCATGTAGCATCGGAAGTGATCGCTAAGGGCAAGGATGCCTCCCTACATGATTAGAACGACCAGGCCTTGTTTGGCCGCCCTTAAAGGCTGCACGATCTAAAGTCCAGGCAAAAGGTACTAAGGTAAATCGCAGCTCCCACAGTATGCATTGTACATGTACACACAATACTCAATAGCGAGAGTTCCCAGATTGCCTAGAGTTGTCTGAAGCTCTCAGTTGTCTGAGGATTGCCTTAGCTTTGCTACAATGTATGTGCATGAAACGCAGCGTTACAACAATGACCTAGTCGGCTGTCTCTGTTCTCTTCTGCCTTCGTGGAAGTACATGTACACATGTAGCTGACAGCATAACAGCGAGCACAACGCGTTCTCTTTCCAAGAATTGGGGCAAAAGTAGCCAATCAATATCTAAAAGAATGTGCGCCAGTTTGAATACCATCATCTACCATACCCTGCTATCGAATAAGGAAAATATAACCAACAAACTGTCCCAGACGGAATTAACAACACACCATGTAACATATTCATCGGTATGTAACCATGCAGAAAAATACACAGCACTATGGCCTCAGGGTAGAGATAATGTCAAATTAGGAAACGCGGAGAGATGAGCAGGATACGCCTAGCGACTAACCATGACTCAGAGAACATTAAATTATTGTGAGACCAGTTGAAAGTGTCTCGGCGACATAATCATGATCACAATGTACATGCATGTTCAACTCCCCCCCCCCCCCCCTCTCCCACCCACTTTGTTTGCCCTTGATTCATCCTCATGTTTACTCTCAACAATATCAGTACAGGAAAGTCCAGATCACTCAAACTTAAGTCGTTTCTCGTTGCATGCCGAAGTCCGCACTTGACGAGAGTAGATCTACGAGTCGAAGTCGAAGATTCGTCGGACTTCTCGTGTGCTCTGAACATGATGCGATAATTATGCAACGGTAGAGATTTCCCAAGCAGACCATCATCATTCATCTCCCCTGATCATGACGTATTCAAACAGCTGCGGTGGCGACTGAAATTCGATCCCAGCTCGGTGCGCTCGCATTACAAGACCTAGCACGCGACTTTAACGCTACGCAATAGAGACCGCTTGACTCGGTGCTGCACTCTATAGGACGGAAATCAGGAGTCACATTTCACTTGCCACCACCGAACATGCACATGTCCCAATCTCACGTCGAAACAGTTTGGCAAAACTGCCTGAAGAGCGTCTAAATACTAAAATAGTAAATTTGCAAGGCGCAGAGCCTGTTACATAATGGAAGAGAGAGGCTCCACGAGAAAAAAAACCTGTCCCAATATTACTCAATGTCAGTAAAACACGGCATTGTTCAGGTTGCCGAGTCATCACTGGAAGCGCTCTATAATGAGGGGTTAAAACACAGATTATCAATGTGCTTCAAAAGTAGTTGCGAAATACTGATGCCTTTCATCAATTCCATGCCTGGATGCCAGCAACAGGTGCATGATCAGTAGTGCCAGTACACGGCTCTCGTGCGCACAAGTGGTACAAGTTCATCTTACCTTGATTAGAGACTTGCCCACTCTACCGTGTCGACTTCTTTGGGGCAGAGCGATGCGCATTTTCCGGTTCCATGGTGAAAGGTAGGGAGATCACAGGCATGATCCGATGATGATGATGTAACCCCTAGCATGTCACATAGGCCAGGGACCGTCGAATGTTTGGACACCGTTGGCTGTCTGCGAGTGAACCATGCCAGTAGGTCATGTACATGTACAGCAGATGAATGTGTCTATTGCCTTGGCATGTCCGTGACTATCGGAGATGTTACGGCGCGACGGACTGCATGCTGTGCGCGTGAACCATCTAACAATGAATTATTGTATTGAAGAGTGAAGAACATATTTGATCACATCGGTTTGTTCATCATCAAGCGTTCATATTCGGCAAGTCCTTACAAAAAAATGAGAGAGACTAAAATGACGAGTTCAGGGGTTGTCGCCCATAGTGCATGGATCTGTGCACTTCAGACTGCCTAGTGCAACGCGTAGTGGCTCGACATAACCGTCGATGTTTGTGGAATCTGCGGTGGAGAGCCACACATACATGTACATGTAGAGAGAGAAATAGAGCAAAGGGCTGGCGGTCTTAGACCAAGAGAGTAACACTCGAAGGTGAAGAGGGGCGCGTTTCTCAACAAGACAACAACTCCTTTAGACTTCCCTCGATCGGCTCACAGGAAATTATGAACGCACACGAATAACATCTGGACCAGGATCGGCTCGCTACTGAAGTGTTTTTAAGCCCATCAATGGCATCATAAAATGTTTTCATCAACGCGCTCGCCTGAAAAACCACACAGCATACTTGGTATGGCCAAGCAGCATTGCATCACGAAAACACTCTTCATCATGAATTCATGCCGAGGTACACGTACATGTACATGTATGAGTCGTGCTAAGTACAATGTAGCCAAGTTGTGGGAATGCGTGGTGAAATGATTGCAAACAATCTGAAGAAGAACACTACAAAATCAATCCTGCGGGGTGTTACACAACTAGGAAAACTCTTCGGCACACTGATATTGTATTGTGGTCGTGAATGTACGATCAGCTACAGTACATGTACATGTACGTAACGATACTATTTTAGGCCCATTTTGACATTGGATACAGAATGATGTATATGTATTTCGTTGTGACATGTTTCTGTGCTGGCGAAACCATCATGAAACTGGCAGCTGAAGGTTTTTTTTCTAAATCACATACCATTCTCTATTCAGCTCGTTCTGTTGATAGCGATTCTAAAACACATCATCCTGCCATTCATTAATTCGCTAGAGTACGAGATTAGCGGAAATGTAATGCTCTTCAAGTACCAAGTATCATCTGCTGCTCCCATCTCTTCATGATATGGCGATCACGTATAATTATAATGTTTTTTTAAAAGAGAGAGCACCATACGTTTACAAGTATAATTGTTATGTATTGCCTTTCTGTCTTTTTCACTTGGATCATGGAGTGGTCAGTCGCCGATGAGGCTCTAGAACATCAAGGTCAACGAACAGCATGACGCTGAAGTACTTTCATTTGAGAATTTATTCTACTCTTCTCTACGACAACGGTGGGCAGCAGCACACATTGTGGGTGAACATAGGACACAGCATGGGAGAGGTGGGACTGGGGGTTCGATGGTGCGTCTGGAGTAGCTGTATGCACCAGGGGGTTACATTCTTCGGAGACTGCACCAGACCTCGGCGTTCAGTGTGCAGCTCGTTCGTATTGTGTTGTAAAGTCTACTGCGAAACTCTCAGACACACTAGGTAACACACAGAGTCAGAGTAGAAGCCTAGAGCAACACCATCATGCTATTTCAGAAATAGTTTTCTCTGTGTGTGTCCCAACGCGCGCTGCAATCACAATTTAATTTTACAAAGTCATGTACAATACTAGCGGGATGGACTGAGCTTTGGACACATGCTTAAGGTTGGGAATTAAAAACAGAAGAAAACCCACATCGCCTCGCCTCAATCGATAATCGGAACGCCAGGTGGGGCCATGCTCAGTATGCGTGCACTACTCGGACCCTAGCCTAGGCCTACGCGCCTAGCAGGCTAGGCTCTAAGTACATAATTATTATGCTTTTTGCTGATTGCCGCATGTCGATAAGTCACGTACACCTACTGTACAATGTATGTACTAATGTAGTCTAGCTAAAAGGCACATGACTATTAAAGCAAGCAGGATGCAACTGCATTGAGGCAGTCTCAAATCAGATCCCACACATCATACCATTACAATACATGGTCCTGATTGTACAACACGTTACAACAGCGATGTCATTCTCAAGTGCTGCACGCGCACTCTCCGCGAATTTCTCCGCACGATGATCTACATGTATGCCTATGGATTGCGCAGCCCATTGCTTACTGAGCGGAGCGGAGCCTCGCAGCTAGCTCGCTGATGCTGTGTGGCCACGTGGCGAGTCCCAACCCGGCAGGGTGTCGCGTCGCGTCGCGCTCCTTGTTTGGGGGCGTGCTTGTTGATTGCCATGCATCGGCATTGGTACCAGTTAGACCAGTCTGTCCCGGACAACATTACCTTGACCATCAGCCCAAGGCTATAACCTTTACACTGCGAGCGGGCTGGGAGCGAGGACACTGGGGAGCATAAAAGGAGCAAGACTGTTTCAATGCAGACCAGAAACATCGGGTAGCGAGAAATCACTGAGCCGAAGAAGAGATAGCCGAGTTGTAAGAGGGTTCTCTTGCACTCACCTTTGCTTGTTTGTCTCCGATCAGCTGTTTGGTGGCTTGTAGATTGTTTCTAGTGTTATAGCAGAACAGCTAGAATGGGTCAAACTCATTCCCGAGCGGCTCAGCTGCAGAGAAAGAGAGTGTCCATGCGACGTTCGGCCACTGGTGAAGATGCCAGCGCCATCAATCCCTCCAAACACTTCAGCGGCTGCGAGGTGACGAAACTCCTTCGCGAGTTCATGGAGGAGCACCCAAGCGGAATCATCAGCGAGGCGGAGTTCACGCAGGCCTATGCGTCGTTCTTCCCGTATGGCAACTCCAGCTGCATCTCCAAGCACATCTTCCGCGCCATGGACCGCAGCGGAAACGGCTTCATCTCGTTCAGCGAATACCTGTCTGTGCTGGGCGTGATGGGCAGAGGCACTACCAGCGATAAGTTGAGATTCGCGTTTCAAGTCTATGACATCGATGGCAGCGGCTACGTAACCTTGGACGAGTTCTGTGAGATTCGCACGGCGCTGGAGGCGCTAAGACCAGTACGAAAGTCGAGATCGCATGCAACGCTCACCAGGCAAAGTACGTGTCCCAACTGCCAATGCTCCACCTTGCCACGTAGCGACACCAGACTGTCCTTGGCTGAGACCTCGTCCGTCATTACATCTTACGAGTCGCTACTAGAATCTACGCACCGCGGTCCCGCTCCTCGCCTCTCTCAGCAGCGCAGTATGTCAATGGTCTCCCTCACCCGACCATCTCTGTCCGTCATTGGCTGTACAACAAGAAGCAGTGACGTCACCGCAAGTTCACTATCATCCGAGTACTGCCGCTCACTGCCCAGAAGCCCAAGGCTGGACAAGTCGCGACTGTGTCCGCTGAGTGAAGACCAGGTATGCACAACCTCAAGCAGTCCGTACGGCCACGCATCCACCCTCTCCTCCACACCCACATCATCAACATCATCTCGACACAGCAGCAACTCCAGCAGTCCCACGGGCACGCTTCTGTCGCGCCGCAGCTCCACGCTGTCCTTCACTCAGGGCTGGGCAGGTCAAGGCAGTGTATTCGGACACGATCATCCCATGTTTGACGCTGAGCTGGACTCTGTGGAGGAACTGTTCGAGGAGATGGATGAGGACAAGGATGGTCTGATATCGTTCAGTGAATTTCAACGAGCGGCTAATCGCGATCCTACTCTCATAAAGCTCCTCAACGGACCGGTTTAACAACGCAGTATCCAAAAACATTATGGTGCTTGAACTGTTCACGTGTATGGCTTCTGAACGGAATATTTGCTACTTTCTGACGACTTGACAATTTGCTACTTTTCCGTTCATTCATGCATTATACTTGTACTTCCGTTCACTTCGTTATAATCACTAGACTTTCGCTCGCCTCTCTTTCCCTCCCTTGTCTAACCAGCTTCATCCTCTCTCATCCCTTCTCCCCCTCTCTTATCTTTCTCGCCTTTGTCTATCCAAGGGTTCTTCGTCTGCTTTTCGAATCACGAATCACGGTTCCATCATAAACATAACCATTCCCTCCATTCAACGTCTCTTCGTCAGATTTCGGTAATTTAATTTTTAAGTTATTGCAATACCCGTTTGGTATTGACCACTTGCCCAAATCCCAAACATATCAAATTGCCAGCATGGAATGGATATTTGTGTTGTTACCGGTATTGGATTAACGCACACTCATAACTATACCACTATGCTTATGCTCAAATGAGCTACAGCAATATCAGTTCAAAGCCTTCTAATTTCGAGTCCGAGCCACCTTGCGTGTGTGTGCGTGTGAATGCGTGTACATGTATGCGAAGTGAAACAAGATTATCGATCCACACAAAAATGTTGTGCCTGTCGATAAGACTTAGTATGCAGGGCTTGAACTTGTGTTTGTCCATTTTAGTTGCAATCCTAGGGTCACATGCGATGGGTGATGAGCAAACTCCCTCCATGTCCGTGCTGTGCAAATGTTTCACAGGCACATGCCTGCAGGGGAGGAAATGCAGCACACTTGACATGAGCAGTTCGCTGACCGAGTGAGTCAGCAAAACGTGGTGTTAGGCAAAGCCACCAACCACTGGTAAGCATGGTCGGCGGGTCGCAGAGTGGTACTGAGCGTGAGAGCGTCTGAGATATCGAGAGAGAGAGAGAGAGAGAGAGAGAGAGAGAGAGAGAGAGAGAGAGAGAGAGAGAGAGAGAGAGAGAGAGAGAGAGAAAAGTGCCTAAGACCACCTGGTTCATTGTTGGTGTAACAGTTTTCCCATGTTCGCTATAACTTTACACTCCCTCGCACCTCGTGCTTACGCCTGTTTATTAGCACCTTCATTTGCGCAATTGTCACATGTATACTATCACCTTTTGCATATCCTGTACATGTAACTGGTTGGGGCACGCTCAACCAGCTCTCTTACTTTTCAAGTTCGATTAAACCTGTTACACTGGTAGCAGAGGATGGTTACGATCCATCGACCTGTGGGTTATGGGCTCAGCACGCTTCCGCTGCGCCACTCACGCCACCCATGTTCGCTATAACTTTACACTCCCTCGCACCTCATGCATCTTACGTCTGTCTATTACTGTATTAGCACCTTCATTGCCGCAATTGCCACATGTATACTATCACCTTTTGCATATACATGTAACTGGTTGAGGCACGCTCAACCAGGTCTCTTACTTTTCAAGTTCGATTAAACCTGCTACAATTGGTGCTGCGGTCAAAACAATACGAAACAAATACTACCAAGACGTAATATGGTTATACCCATTCGGCACTTCGGCGGAGGTCAAAGGCCTGGACCTGGACGGCCGCTAGTCCTGCATCGACTAGCACAGTAGGGCCACACTTGCAGTGGCGGAAGCGCATATTGAACACATGGAGATATTTTGCATGTCTACTCGTTTTCCGAGTTAAAAAGGCACGGTGTAGTAGGGTGTTGGTATAGTGCAGTATTACTGCCACTGATCCAAGACGTGTTCAATATTCAGTGTGCTTGTGCATTCCCCATGCTCTGAATAACGTTCGGATAAGACGTAGCACGGATAATACAATCGTGTCAGTACACTTGTCAGTTCCCCTGGGTGGAGGGGTACGTGTTATCCGAGTTCCGCACCGAATACAATAGAGGGAGAGAGAGAAAGGAAGCTGTGTTTGGACACCAAGTTTCACCTTGTCATGATCGTCAACCTATTTCAGTTCAGTTCAGTTGCCTGATGTTCACGAGTCATTGAGAACGTGATGAAACTGGGAGTCACAAACACAGCTTCCTCTCTCTCTATTGTGTGAAACACTCTGCCCTATATACGGGCATCGAGCAATCTTTGAGCATTGAAGCAACCGCCATGTACTTGATTACAATTATGTACAATGTACGATGTACATTCCGCACTGGTCAATAGTCTGGTGTATGAGTTGCTATGCAGTCTGTATGTGTGTGTGTGTGTGTGGGGGGGGGGGGGGGGGGCAGACAATGAAGCCCACTATTTATCTACATGAACAACAGACAGCTGCCTGTGTACATGTATATGTACATGTAGTGAAGTACATGATTGTACAACACGACATTACCGGTACATGCACAGAACGCAAGAGGCGCAGGGTGGTGCAAGTGTCTGCTGCTTCAAACGCATGTTTTCCTTTTCCGTTCCGTTCTGTTGGGCACATTCTTTACTCCGAGGAGGTCACATTCTTGCTAACGACTACTGACCTCCGCTATCGAAACGCCGGACTGGGGCTCAAGGTCGAGGTGAAAGGAGAAGTAGAAGTCTAAAACCGACAACTGAGGTCGAGTGCATGCCGTGTGCCTTGTTGGTTATCGGTTCAGCTGAGCAGCTGAGCAGCTGAACAGTATTACTAGTGCTTCTGTCTAGGTCTGCACATCCGTTTTCGGCTTGCCACCGGTTATGGCGAATGTTGTAATTACAATGTACCTGTATGTGCAGTTGGGCTCACTGAAATCCGACTAAAAGTTTTTTTTTGAATTATCCAAAAAACTGTCGCCTGGACCAGTTCCCAAACTACATGTAACTGTGCTGAGAATTGTATAGTTACCATACAGCAGCCCGATGCTTCCAGAGGGCAGAGGGCAGAGGGCAGAGGGCAGAGGGCAGAGGGCAGAGGGCTGCTGTGCAGGTAACTAGTGTTACTTTAGTAACTGTACTAATGTGTCTCGTCAGTGTACTTCGAAGTATATGTGTACGTCCAGCCACTTCGCCTAAGTAAGGGTGTCAAGATCAGTGCAAGTAGTTAGGGGTGCCAAATGTGCCCCATCACAAGTAAGTTACTTAGTAGTTCACGGAGCAAACCCGTAGATACGAGGTCGGCAAGGAAAGGAGACCGTGTCGAGGTGCAGCTGGCCGGCACTAGCACTCCATGCAGGTGGAGAGTCATTCGATTCACACTCAGCACTACTACTAGCACTATCACCGTGTGCGGACGAGTAGATCTACTTCCTGACGTTCAGCACAGTCGTCATGGATACGTGTACATGGTTGTACAATCATGTAACGTTGTGCAGTTGAACACACTGGAGGCGAAGGTTGGTTTAGCTGTAACTAACTTCAAGGCAGTTCAAGCATCACACATTTTAGCGATCATCAGACAGCTTGCATGTTGTTATAATAATGTGTTTACTCACCTTTCGCTCGCCATGCTAATGCTTGTCGTATGGCCTGTTCAAACACTATCATGCATCCGCTCGATCTATTGTTGTATACGTGAGAAGGTTTGACCTTGAATACAACACGAACACTAAAGCCTAGGAAAGAGTGGATAAAATCACGGATGGTTTTGGCACGACTGGGTGGCGATACGCGCCAGGACGAACAGCCCGCCGAGACGAAAGACTGCCCTTTCCGCCTCTTTGTGATGGCAGCAGCCTCACACCTACGTCACTGGCCGAACGGATGGCAGTGAAGTATAATGTTGTAATGAGCAAAAAAGCACTTTTGAACTAGCTCAAACAAGCATGAAAATCAGAGTGCTCTATTAAACTGCAATATTATTATTAGAGAGGTTCCGGGGTACGATTTTCCGTGCCAAAATCCGTGTGGGCGCTACGGATTTTTTCCAGGAGTGCTCCATACGATTTTTCGGCACGGAGAATCCGTGTGGACTGGCTTTCACACGAACCATGTTTCGTATGGAGATTTTGCGTCATCGGGTGCAGAAAGATTTTTCGCGTACAAATTTGGTACGAGAAACATGGATTTTCCGCGGGAAGTTTTGATTTCGGTACAAATTTTCAAAATATAAAGGCATAGCGCGGGAATGTGACGTGTTTGCGATCGTAACCTAGGCAATGACGGCAAACACATAAGTTCCGTACTCCGGAACATTTCACTGCTCGAAAACGACGTATAAAAAATCCGTAGCGCCTCTACGGATTTTGGCACGAAAAATCGTACTCCGGAACCTCCCTATTATTGTGGGTTACAGTGAGGGCGGCGCCCCACCCGCCTGTGTGGATTCACAGAAAGTGCGAGTTACGAAGTCTGAAAGAAGTGTTGAACGATCTCTGCTGGGATGACGACCACACCATAGCTCAGTGGTTAGACCGTCGCTGGCTACAAGCGAGGGTCCCTGGTTCGAGTCCTGGTGGTGACACTCAGACAGTCAATGTTTTCTTCAGACTTTTCCCGTTTGTGCCTGTCCCTCAAACCAGTGAATACGATGAACATTTCCACACTGAACATGTCCACTTCAAAACAGCTGTCAGTCTACACATGATTGTGTTCACGTCGGGATGAAGCCTCAGGACAATCGTTTGCAGAAATGGACATCTACCTGGAAGAGTTCAGCTTGGTGGGCGGACCTGGCTACTACATGTACTAGTAGCACTGTAGCTGGTTTTGCACTAAGCGCGAGAAACGCAACAACAGCAACATCTCAACATACTCAATTGGTTTCGGACTTGGACGCAGCAACACAAATAATTTATAAGGACCAGCAGTACTTACCTTCATAGTGATTAATCTGGTGTATGCAAGAAGCACTAGCTGGGCGCTCTCAGAAGCGCATGCACCTAATATCTAGGAACAGAGGGTGCTCCTATGGACAGCCCTAACCCTTCTAACTGAGCCACTACCCCTGCTAAATGCAGCAGAACTATAGTCGCAGACCAATGGTAATGATACTGATAGCTGGAAACAACCCTTTCCGCATTGTCAACAGACACTGATTCGACAGGACCACTAGCTAGAGATTTTTCATTGGTCTGGGACAGGCAGCACTAGAGAATGAAGTACAATGCAAGTGTACAAACGATCGTTTCGAGTTCACCTTCCTTAAATATAATTATTAATTCGAAGTAATTATGCGGCATGTGAAATGGTGTGAAGACCAGAAATGGATGTGAAGAAACGATTGTCTCTAGATTCCAGAGGCTGTGTCAGAAGCAGCAGAAGGTGCATCAGGACCAGCACTAGGACTTGCTGCGGGAAATGAAGAAACTCCAGTGGTGGAAGAAGCATGATGGCTAGCTGCTTCGTCCGTCGATTTTCGTTTCGGCTTGGGCTCCGAAAGCAGTCTCACAGCCGGAGATTTGCGCTTGGGAGCTGCAGGGCGCAAAATTAATGATCAGGAAAGCAATCGAACTTGCTTGGAACAGCATCCCTGATCAGCCTGGCTGTTTTACGCTCCGTCATCCTGGCCCTAACACGTCCGCCCGAGTGGTAGTCAGCCTCCGTGAAATGAAGACCACACACGCGCGTTGACGGGTTTACAACAAAGCCACCATGGCCCTAGTCACGGCGAATT